GTAGTAGTATGTAGTAGTATGTAGTAGTATGTAGTAGTATGTAGTAGGATGTAGTAGTATATAGTAGGATATAGTAGTATACAGTAGTAGTATTATGTAATGAATTGTAATGATGATAAACGATCTGTAGCTTACAACCGCTTACAACCACACATCTCAATCGCTAATGAGATGCCACCGTATCTCCACACCAGAGGGGCTAAGTGCCCGGAATGGCCTACACCTTACACATTACCCTGTGGTGGCATGATTTTCAAGCATTCAACCTGTTTCAGCATGGGCAGAGCATTCAAGCTGGGTCACCCATATCACAGATGAGGGGCATGAGTGAAATCCAGACGACCCAAGCCTCGCTTTGAACGCACGGGTCTTTGAGGACTTCGGGACTATTAGATACCATGGGGTAGGGCAAGGCAAGCACACCCAATGTCGTTTGAATCTAGTGGATTTCTGTGTTTTCCTCTTTGGATATGTTTGGCAGGAGGATTTTGTTCTGGTTGGAATTGGAGTCTGATTGGATCATATGTTGACATTTGTTGTGTGTGTGGCCCACCAACCCCAATAGAGCAGCAGATTGCAATGACATGGATTCTGATTTCTTCGAGATTCTATTTCTATGTTAGAAGTTAGAAGTCAGGACTGCAAGGACTGCAAGGATTTGTTGATTTGACTTGAGGGCCACTCCGCTGCTTTTTCTTGTGTGCATCACTCAACGGTGGCGCAGCCGTGCACCTATAGCCTTGAAGCATCCCATGTTGACAAGACAGGGATAGATAGGTCCTGTTTGCAAACAAGACATGGACATGGATGAAAGGCTCCAAACATATCCTAAAGCCTGGAATTTCTCTTTTGTACCATGGAGGATTTCCTCAGTAGGTAAATGAGTGTTGGCATCAATGACTGGTGTAGAGGACAAAGTTCAGGACAAAGTTCAGGACAAAGTTCACTAAGACCCCCTGGGTCTCTTCTCCTGTTGTTTGTTTTGGATCAGGCTCATCTGAGTTTCTGCTGAGGTGGCCTACAACCATGAGCTGGCTACTGGGCCAACAATGGTCTTGCATGTCTTCGCTGGTTCTTTGGGCAATTGTCGGAGTCACACACAAACCTCGGATCATAGTCATTGATTGGATTGTTCATTTTGCTGAAAATTTTTGACTTTGGCGATTTGCAACAAGGGGAAGATTTATGAAGATTTGTGTTGGGCTTAAACCTGAAAAGCCCTTTATATACTTTACCCGTCCCGACCACTCCATGGGAATGACATATTTACCTACTGTACATTGGTGGTTCAGGGGTTAATGTAGACACATATTGGGATGGAGCATATCATCCCAAACACAGCACGCGCAATTGCCATTCTATTTGCCAGGTTTTGCTCCCCTACTGGGTGCAGATGCAGCCACACTTCTCGGACGGTTGGAAGGACGGGAGAATCCAGATCACAAGTCAAGATGCAAAGGCGCTATGGTTCCAGCATAAGAGCCAAAAAGCAAGAGTACGACCCTGACTCTGACAGCTTTTTGGGTTTGCCATGTTTGAACTACATTGTAGGCATTATAAAAATGGACAGTACCCTCCTCCTCTCCAAAAGGATTTGCCCAGGACTTTGGAGGTGAGGATGGCGACCTCACACGCCATACTGATCTCTATCAAGCGAGGCTGGTTGATGGTGCGTTTGAGGTTTCTCAGGCGTGTTGAAAGAAGTTGCTTCTGAGATGCAAAGACTGAAGACTTTCCATGACTTTCCGATAGACAGCAGTCCACAAAAATGACACGTGAACACCTGCACCAGTATGGGAGTAACGTATATGAACGGGGCTAGACAACCTGCACCGCCAAGGCTTGCCATTCTGCTTATTTGCTCTTGGTACAGAACTGAATTGTTCAGCAATGGTGAACATATTGAGCGTTTAAGTTTTGAGGGTTCAATGACCATGTAGGCCCAAGAGGCTCAAGGGATATATAGATCTCAAGCGTCGAGCCTGGGAACCGTGCATGGAGATTTGAAAGACAAGGTTTCGACGCACATGGTTGCCACGGCCTAGTGCATTTCCTTCGCACGCACCAGGTTCTCCAAAAGCTGCTTTGATGTTTAAATCAAAGCACACTTCTTACAGTTGTCCATCAAAGTAGTAGGGCAGGGGGCGGGGCGTTGAAAAAATATGAAAAAATTGTGCACTGTTTTCCACGTTTGCTCCAGATCACTCAACCCCAAGTAGGAGATGCTCCCAGTGGGTGCGCCCAGGGCACCATTTGTTCAACGGGTGTGTCGTGCATTGGGTCCGCGTTACCACCCAAAAAACAAATCCTCGAAAATAGAATCCGGCTGGGATCAGTGGAAGGCCCATTCCCATTCTAGTTTCTGACGGGTTGCCCCTTCCCCTGCAATGGAGCTAGATTGCAGCTATGGTACTGTAGTACTGGTAAGGCGTAGGAGGTCATATTGAATCTTTGCAGCTCTTGTCGGACTTTGGCGCGAAAAAGTCTTTTCGACTTTGGATGAGAAACCCCCAGCGAAGCCTCCAAAGTGCGCTTTGATTTGTGTAAGCAATGCAAAAGGTAAGCAAAAGCGGCGAACCCGGCACGCACCAGGCATATGCGCGCCTTGTCTGATTGGTCCTTGGTCTCCACTGCAAGGCCTGCGGGCTCGTGAGACCATCCAAGATCACGTGGTTCTGTGTCTCAACATGTGTGGATTCGATGGGGGGTGCTTTGGGACAGCCAAGGATTCCTGCCTGTGGCTGGTATACTGACAGTTGGGTCGTCCTAGTTCAAGACCTGTTCAGATATTGGATAATATTGGATGCGTCATGATGCGTCATCCTAAACCCTCAGCGACCGCTCAACAGACTCTGGCGGGAAAAATGCTGTTGCTGGACAGACTCTCCAAAGACGTCTTCCGGTGACGTCTCCAATGATTGGTGTAGCTGCGTAGCTTTGCTAGCTTCATCGAAATGGTTCAAAAAATATGTAGGCCCTCTTGAAGAGCATCCAAACACCTTACAGAACCTTGGGAGCACCCTCCCTTGGAGCACCCTTCAACTGCGCGTGTGGCGCGTCCACTCAGCCAGGCTTTGGCTACCCTTGAATTTCGGCCCACCCTCTCAGCGGCAAGCGATGCCGCAGAGTGTTGTGGACTTCGCAAGGGCACACAGCAACGTGCGGGCGATGATGGGAACCGAGGGGTTTTGACATAGGAGTCATAGGAGGCTTCAGAGCAACAACTGATGTAACATGACACGAGGCACACTCCAAATCATTGTAAAGGCAGCCCCATTTGGATGTCCCGTTGATTTAGTGGAAGTGCTGAAAACCCCAGAGAACGATGGGGGACTCACCAAATAGTAACCTTTACTGTACTTCTTGAATTGTGGCCTATGATTTTTGAGCTTGCTTAGAACAATCACCAGAAGGATTGACAGGGCGATCACGCCAGTTGAATTGCACTCCCCCGAAGACTCGTCCAAGAGCTCGGCATTCGACGTGCGAAAATCTAAAGCAATAATAGGGGACTCAGGCAATCACCGAGCCGAGAAGAGACCATGTGAAAAATAATTTGACCAGGCTCACACTATGATGTTCCTCTCCAATTGTTGTTGCTCCGTTTTTCTTGCCAAGTGAGATTCTCATCCCAATGCCAGCGATCCCAAACGGGATTCCCCCAAAAGCTGCCTGGCCACCGGGTCTAAGGCCTTGAGATACTACACCTTGGATTTGGCGCCACGTGTGAAGCTGAGAGTCCTGGTGTTTCCTTAGATTTGGTGATTCCTCCAGTCATTCAATCATTCCTCCAGTCATTCTTGTTGTTGTGTGTTTTGATTCACAGATTGGGAAGAAGTGGGGTTTGCTGGTCGGTTGACAACGCAGATGGATAAGATCTAGCAGCGTTGTTTTGATCACGCTGACATACTCAGTCCTGTAGAGCACCAGAGTTCTTCAGCTCTAGGACGTACCATGTAGCCAGTCTCCCAAAGTGTTACTTACCTTTGCACAATTGGAACAGGTCAAACATTCCCACTGATGGCATTGTGCTTGCCTGTACTATCCCTGGCTCATCCGCTATGCATGGAGGACCCTTCCGAAAGAAGGGCTTCAACAACGCCAGGAAGGGAGGGGAAATGTTGGGATGACACAGTGACCGTGCCATTTGTGGAGCTATCACATCATTTGCATGCCAGAGTGGGACTGGTCTACAGTAAACTATATGTTGCAATATTTTACAATTACAAATACAGTATATAATATATATATATTGAGTTTTTATGCATTTATAGTTAATATATATATAATATACATAGTTGTTTACAAGTATATAGTTAATATTATATAGTTGTTAATGGTATGCAACGGCGATTCTCATGGTCCACCGTTCACTGGGATGTTTGCATATATAAGCATGACACAAGCTTATTAATGCACTTTGCTAAGAGTTATTATACGGTATACCGCTGTATGTTTTTGCCTCATGCTGCCTCAGAACCAGCCTCTTTAGTCATCGGACACGTGGTTGTTTTGGAATGCGGTCCAATGTACGATGGTGTACGGTGGTGACAAGTTGTTTCTGTTCTGTTTGTTTACCATCAGAGAAGAACGCAGGGATTCAGGGATTTCCTACACCTATTGACGAGACGAACATGACATTGATTCACTATTTCAAACTAGTAGCTTCTTGTTACTAGTAGTAAGGCCAGGAGCCCCTAGTAGCGTCCTTGCTCCTAGTAGCGATGCCCGTGCTCCTACTAGCTTCTTGTTACTAGTAGTAATGCCCGAGGTTACCACCTTGCCGTATCTACAGCCATGTGTCCATTGCCTTGAGCTTCTTGCAGGAAAAAGGTAAAGGCACGGGCCAAGCGCTTGCGCTCCATCTCGGACTTCACGGCCGAGAGCACGGCCTTCATCGATGAGGTGGACGGACAACAAGTATTTGACTTGCTTTGTCCGTCGCGTTAAAGGATTTGAGGATACCATAACATAAACTAAACAATTCGGACTTGGACACCTGAACAAAGCGGAACAAAAGCCGGCCATCGGTTGCCGCAAGACTTGATGCGATAGGATTCACGGGATTGTTCGGTTGTTCTTGGGTCTTCAAGAACGAAATGTCCATTCATTCGGCAATGGATCACGATCAGAGTATCATTTCATGTTGGTGCATGACCATGTTTGTCCAGAAATGTCCAGAATGGCAACTAACACAGCCAACCACGGCTGGTGTATGCTAAGTCTACTCTGGGCTGTCAGATGAAATTTGCAATTCTTGCCACTTACAAGGCTGGCGACTAACATTTGCCTTTGGGGCAAGCTGTTACTACCAAAAGTTGCGCGAGAAGGAGCTTTCATTCTTGGTCAGATTTGTCAAGACCAATGAAGCGGAGACGAAACGGGACCAAACGCATTTGGTTTGCACAAAGAGGAATTATACATAGTTGGAAGCATGCAAACTCCTGGTAATAGTCCGCCAATCTCCAAAGTCTTCCAGAGTCCCATGCTGTATCTCCCACGTTCCTCGCGTGCGTCAGGTGCAGTCTCGCAAAGGGAAAGCTGGGATCCGACGCTTGTATTGCAGCTGGTGTTAGACTCTTTCTGGCGAAAATGCCGGTCGGTCCATGGCGAATTGTGTCCGGGTCCTAAAGTCGGCATGTCATGTGGGCCACGTGACTTGACGTTAGAGAAGGTGAAACGAGTCGTTGGCCACAAGAAAGTTGTTTCGTGATCCCTCCTTTTCTAAATGCAGTACTTGTATGTACCTGTGTTGGGTGCATGTTCCAAGTTACAGCTGCCCTCCTTGGGCGAGATTCTTCAACCTTCCATCGCATGCACCCAAGATCGTTCGGTGCAACACTGAAGTTCGGAGAGGTCGGGTCAATTGACAATTGAGGCGAGGGGGGCCTCCCCGGGATTGGTGGCTTCCGGACCTTCAAGGAGCTGAGGTTGGTGGGGCACGAGGACCAGGCAAGCGAGAGCGAGCGCAAAGCAAGAGCGACAGTTGCGCGCGACATAAAGAAAACTGTGCTGCCACTTCAAGATCGATGACGGATGCTGTAGAGGGAAAGCAAGCCCACCCTGGGTAGCAAAGAAGCTTTGACGTGATCCATTTGCCCCCAAAAAGCAACTGCATGGCATGCACCAAACTTTTTCCAGCTAGGGGCCTCGTTTTGTTGATTGTGCTGGTTGGGTTGTCAGGGGGAATTGAATCATATTGGTTTACCGGAAAAGGGCAACTAAGTGCGCTTGCTTTCACATGATGCCTTGTGCAACGAGAATACTCTCGGCAAGTTCTTGAGACTCACATGTCAGGACCAACAGTGGCACGTTTCTGTGGAAACCCCTCTTAGTCTATTTTGTCGACGGGAACATCGACGCCAGGGCCTCAAGACGGCTGGTTGAAGATGTCATGGAGAGTATGGCCAAACCCTTGTTGGTTGCCAGCGACATGCATGATAAACAATGTTTGGAGGCACCAATTCGCGTGCTGCCGTTGTTCTTTACATTGTGGAAAGGTTTCATTCAACTTACACGCACGCCGCAGCCTTCCAGAGTTTGTTTTGTGTGAACGACTGTTGTTCGCATTCACATAGTGCTGGCTACTCCATATTTGATGTTCAAGGTTTTTCCAAATGCGTTTATTTAATATAATATATATACAGTATATAGTCTTTGTAGCAGCTTCTATTTAGTGAAACATGTTCCTGTTGACAATCCTTGTTGTTTCGGTCAATGTTTTGATGGTCACTGACCTTCAACAAAAGCATACAAAAGCAATATCATCGGCTGAATTCAACTTAGCAAACATGCTTTTAAACTTCAATTCTAGGACATAGAAAGTTGCTGCACATATGCCCCCAAACAACGAAGGTTATCAAAACAATACCGCCAAGACCTTGAGGTACCAGAACCGCACTGAGGCGTTTCATGGGGCCTCACTCCAAACGCAAGGGAAGCCCCTCCGTCCCGTGCTTTGCAACATTGTGAGGCCCGTCGATGGGTGGAGTTTCCGCTGGAAGAAATGAGGGTTCTCGCATGTGATTCAGAGGAACCAGGGATTTGCATGGCTTTGTCTCCTGCTAGGCGGTACGAAATTAACGCACTGCTGTCCTAGTATCATGTCTTTTATTGTTTTTTTGGGTTTGCCCACGCCCACTCCCATGCAGCAGGCAAGGTCGGCACATGAATCACATGAATCCATTGGGGGTCGGGCTGGCACAATTCTATACCTACAAAACCACCGATTGACAGATTGTCATATGTCCCACACCTTTGAAGAGTTAATGGTTTCATCAACTGTTTCGACCAAAGAGGGAGGCAGTGCCTCTAGGCAGTTTTATCCAGAGAAGCATGGGCAACGTTGCCACCAACCACTGGGTGTGCTGCGAATTGTCCACTGAACATGATGGTGTTTGCGACATCCCTCTATTGCAGTCTAAAACTCTCCTTTTGCAGATTTCGGGGCGCGATCCAGAACTGGACAGGCTGCCTTGCAATCCGAAGGCAAGGCCTGCAACCGCTGATGTGGAGGTCATTGCTCTGGTAGCAATCCGGTGTTCGTTGCTTCTCCCATGGCGGGAGTGATAGGATCTGCTCAAAAGCTCTAGAATAAAAGGACCTATCAATAGCACTGTGGCATGTATTGCACCATCATGTATCCAAAGAGGCCAAAGCATGGTTTGTCCCGACCATGCACGGTCCGGAGAACAACGCTGCACACGTGACAGATCAGGCTCGCCTGTTGCCTTCCAGCTTTGCCTTAGTGTGGCAGGGCTCAACGCTGTGCCTTGTCTTAATGCCCTGTGGATGCGAAATTCGGACGACTGAAAGAGGGGCGCTTGGCAAGGCCCTTCCCTGCGCCCCCTGAAGGGCCATGCATCTATATAACCCATGATCAGACAAGGGCCATGATGTTCCATGAAGATTTTATTTGTGCTTTGCCCAGCAGAACTCGATCATTTGAGAATGAGACGCGGAATCAAATCGGACCAAGCAACTCAAGGACGTTCCGCCTGTTTCACCCGCCAGGTCATCATGATATGCATATTTCACAACAAACCGGTGAGAACAGACCAAAATAATGCTTCAAAGATCTTCAAAGTATCTCGGGGTTGGAGATAAAAATGTTTTGCTGATAAACCATGATAAACCTTGGTTCCTGACAAGTTTCACTACTGCAGAAGACCCCCAACCCCCCTCACCCGTTGTTGATTTTCTTAGGCTCTTTCGCTGCTGGCCTATCACCCTGTCTCAATGCAACCGACAAAGGCCACGGGATATATCTCGATTTTCTCATGTATTGACGTCTCGCTATTAGGTTGGAGGCCATCACTCTTTGGTTGGAGGTCATCGCTATTAGGTGGGAGTCCAGCGCTCTTTGGTTGGAGGCCATCGCCATTAGGTTGGAGTCCAGCGCTCTTTGTTAGTCATCGCTATTAGGTTGGAGTCCAGCGCTCTTTGGTTTGAGGCCATCGCTATTAGGTTGGAGTCCATCGCTCTTTGGTTGGAGGCCATTGCTATTAGGTTGGAGTCCATCGCTCTTTGGTTGGAGGCCATTGCCATTAGGTTGGAGTCCAGCGCTCTTTGGTTGGAGGCCATCGCTCTTTGCTTTGAGGCCATCGCCATTAGGTTGGAGTCCATCGCCATTAGGTTGGAGTCCATCGCTCTTTGGTTGGAGGCCATCGCCATTAGGTTGGAGTCCATCGCTCTTTGGTTTGAGGCCATCGCTATTAGGTTGGAGTCCATCGCTCTTTGGTTGGACGCCATCGCTATTAGGTTGGAGGCCATCGCTATTAGGTTGGAGTCCATCGCTCTTTGGTTGGGTGCCATTGCTGTTAGGTTGGAGTCCATCACTCTTTGGTTGGAGGCCATCGCCATTAGGTTTGAGTCCATCGCTCTTTGGTTGTAAACGATCGCTATTAGGTTGGAGGTCATCGCTCTTAGGTTGGAGTCCATCGCTCTTAGGTTGGAGGCCATCGCTATTAGGTTGGAGTCCATCGCTCTTTAGTTAGAGGCCTTCACTATTTGGTTGGAGTGCATTGCTGTTTGGTTGGAGGCCATCGCCATCAGGTTGGAGTCCATCTCTATTAGGTGGGAGTCCATCTCTCTTAGGTGGGAGTCCATCACTCTTTGTTTGGGTGCCATCGCTGTTAGGTTGAAGGCCATCGCTATTAGGTGGGAGTCCATCTCTCTTAGGTTGGAGGCCATCGCTATTAGGTGGGATTCCATCTCTCTTTGGTTGGATGCCATCGCCATTAGGTTTGAGTCCATCGCACTTTGGTTGGAGGCCATCAGGTTGGAGTCCATCGCTCTTTGGTTTGGTGCCATCGCTGTTAGGTTGGAGGCCATCGCTATTAGGTGGGAGTCCATCTCTCTTTGGTTGGAGGCCATCGCTATTAGGTGAGAGTCCATCTCTCTTTGGTTGGAGGCCATCGCCATTAGGTTGGAGGCCATCGCCATTAGGTTGGAGTCCATCGCCATTAGGTTGGGTACCATCGCTCTTTGGTTGGGTGCCATCGCTGTTAGGTATTTAGTTTTTCAGAATCTGGGTCCGGTGATGTCCCTGTGTGCCCGGCCATGTGTGCCGATCCCCTTTCGTCCCAAGCTATGCGGCAGGATCGGTCAAAGGAGCCCACCGGCGGGGACCACCGGCAGTCGGAAGAGGAGTTGCAGGCACGTGGAAGAGATGCGGTCGACCAGTGGATGGTCCTGTTCATGAAAGTAACTGTAAAATACTTATTTTAAGATAGTTCAAGCAAGCTTATGTCTTATGTTATTTGTTTTGATCGGGCATGGCCAGGAGTCCTTCCCTAAATAATTACATCACAAACAAACAAGCTTGGAACTATGCCTGAGTAAATCGTTCAGGGCCTTCCCTCGGGCATGCTCTAGACATCTCTAGGCCTTCAAAGTAAAGCATCCTCCAGATCTCTTTGGAGGATGTGTTCGAGTGTTTTGCCCGTTCAAACTTTGTTTGATTTACCAAGGGTTTCTTCATTCAACGGAGCAACCAGCCTCGTTGCTCTATGCAGCTGGAGGCCCACTTTGGGCAGATGAGAATTACAGCTCGACGAGGGTGCGCGTCAGGCGGGCGGGTCATTGATCTCAAGGTCCGGTTGGGCGTGGCAAAATGGGAACACCGACACCACCACAATCTCAGATCAAACATGGATCAAAGATTGATTTCCAAGTGCCGAGGTGGAACAGCAGTTAGGCTGCCATTCAAGTGTGTGTTTCAAAACAAGAGGCAACACGGCACGGTGATGTTTACAAGTTTACACCATAGTCAGCATTGCAGAAAAAGTCACCAAAACTCATCTTCAAGCGCAGGATCACAGGATCGCTGACGAGAAAAGTCATGGCAGGAACTGATCCAGTTCTGGTGCCACACCTGAGGTATTTTCTTGTGGATCCAGCTGGATCCACCAGCTTGTTTGTGCTATCGGGGCTGGGGTGATCCGATGCTTGGTGTTTCTTTACCCACACTGGACCGGAATCTGGAGCACGGACGGCTGCGCACGGACCGCCGCTCGACACGGACCGCTCGAATATCTTTTGGATTTATTCCTTAGGGATTGTGCTATACTTGCAGTGACTGTGACTTATATAATATAGGAACATATAGGAACATGAATAGGTGTAAATAGCAGTTGGGCGCGGTGCTGGTCAAAACCTGGGTTGTTGTGCAGAAAATTGCCCGTGTTCGATCAGCTCGATGTTTGCCTTTCTGGAGGAATTTGTCCATTTGCTGCCCCGGCAGAGACACATGCTGAAAGGATCAACCAAGGACTGGGAAAGGATGAACACCTCTACAAATCATCAGATTGTTTTGACCTGTCCTTTGTGATTTTCCTCTCAACACGACTTGGCGCTAGGTGCGGTGGCCAGCGAGGCTGAGGCGGGCGGATGAAGGCTGCGTACATACTTGAATCAGGTCGTTCTTGCAATGGAATCAAACAGAGCATCACTTATCCGCAAAACGTATCAGACTTTGGAATTCTTCCACCGCAAACCCCAGGTTCCGCCGGTGGAGTTTGCGGCACTCTTGGATGACGTGGAAGAGTATGTCACAGCAACTCAGAGAACCAACAGTACACCGGGAATGAATGTACACGGCTGCTTTGACTATCGAGGGGTTAAGAGTTCAGAGGTAACAAGTTGAAAGCCCCAGGGATGAACTGGCCCGATCTATACAGTAATTAGTAATTAGTAATTAATTGTGTTTCCTAAGCGAATATAGCAGTCCACAGACAGATTGACAAGACAATTTCCCTATTCCAGGTGATTAATGTTTTTGGTTCCACTGCCCAAAGTTGATCCACTTGCTTTTGGCTCAAATGGAATCACAGCTTTACAGCTAGAAAGAACCAAGAACCTGGTACAAGGGCATCTTCCAAAGCCTTCATGGCACGTGGCCGACCATCTATGATGCTTGATGCGTGCGTGGAAGAGGGCAGCCCTACCAACGCCCAAAAAGAGTTTGAGGAGGGCTTTGTGGGATGGTTGGGGTCAACATGTGTCAACAGATCATGTAGTGAGTGATATGTAGTGCAATAACCATGCAACATATCTTGCCCTATTTAGGTGTAACACATGTGTATATATATACATACATACGTAGTAATATAGTTATTTACAGATTACAGGTCTCAACATTTTTAGGTGTGTATATATATAATTCCATATCTAAATATAAACAGCCAATGCAAACTCTGCAGTGGTTGGCAGTGCACGGGACTTTTCAAGGATGTTTGCAAGTACCGCTGGCAGATTGATTGGTGGCTTTGTCAATTGTGTGTCCAGGCTATGGTGCAAGCTCAGACAAAGGACCAGGCGTCTTCAGGGTGCTTGGGGGCCACAGAAATCAAGATAGAGTGTAGCAAAGTTGCAGAAAGATGCAGAAAGTACTGTATATAAGACAGAGATTGCGCACTGACTTCATGCCTTTCTCGATTGAATTCCTGCTTTTGATGCTTTCAGCTTTGTCAAAGAGCTTGACTTGGGAGGCTGAGGAGCTACGAAAGTTATATGCCGAGAGTTGGCGTCAGAGCGACGTCGAGCTTGGGCTCAAGCCGCCTAGGCCTGGCATCATCGCCCATGCGAATGCCGCTCTCGAAGAATCTCTTCGAGCGGCCAACAAGATCGATGTCATTGATGACAGTGGCGAGGACGGAGAACCTGAGAAGAAGGAAGCTGAACAGGATGATTGGACAAACCAGGTATGGATCTGGTTCAAGTCGCTGACCATTTGCGCCTGCTGCGTCCGCAAGTAGGCCAGATCCTTGAAATGTGTGCAGTCACATTCAGTCACCGTATGATTATTTCAATGATAACATGGCGACATAGAAACTGTCCAGCAACGTTAGCCCACCTGAACTTCTATACCTGTATATATATATTGTATTATATACTATTATATACTGTGTATACATTGACTTACATTGATATGGGACCATGGATTTATGATTGTATTTATGATATATTAATTTATACATGTTATGTGATGTTATGTGTTTTAATGTTCGAAGGACGAGATCAGTTCTGCCAGAAAGTCCTTTCTGCACCGGATACGCTGCAGGCATTTTATTAGCCCAAGGTGGCCTTATTGCCAAATGAGTTGCGCGGCCAATTTGAATTATGCATTCGTGGATTCACCATTGTCAACATCACGTGCCAATAACTCAACCAAAACTGATTGATATTTACATGTGCGTCACAGTGAATGTTGTCATGCGCTCTGGGAGGCAGGGCACGCCATTGAAGCCAACAAGTGTTCCAAATCCAATGATATACATCTTGGATGCTGCCGAAAGAGACATGATAAGCATGTTGACAGTGGCGTAATGTGCATAGAGGCCATTTGAAGCCTTGTTTCCGGATACGAGCGAGTTCATCCACGGGGTTGCTCAAGAACGCTCAAGATGGGAATAGTATGCTACCTAGCTGCTTCCAGGAACCAGTTGAATGAACTCCTTGACAGGCGATGTGTGTCAACAGAATGCGGTGCCGCAACATTATTCAACATTGCTTCGATGAAGTGGTCAAAAGAGTGTTGGGATGCAGCCGTTTCAAACTCTTTCCAAATACTGAATCCTCCAAGTGATCCTCCAAGTACCTACCAGTAGCGCCAGTAGTAGCGCCCTATTTGGTTGTAAACGAAACATTTTGGGCAGAGTCTCCTCCTTGCCCGCAGTCAGCAAAAACTGGGTGACCCCAAACATCCTTGTGCTGCGGCCTTACTTCATTTCAGCTTCATGGGGAATTGATCAAGTCCCCGAGAAGTACACAGCTTTTCATGGGTTTGACTACTTGTTGCTATACAGTATACCATAGTATACATAAATCATTTAATCTGACATTGAACATTGGGCCTGGGTCAAAGTATGGCTTCTTGGATCTGGGGCGGGTGGAGGATTGGAGAAGAGACCAGGTAGAACTGCCGATGGACGCTATTAACCCATCTCACGGATCGCTTCTAAGGGCGAACTCTCCTTACCATGGAATCTTCTCCAATCCTCTCCACCCACCTAACAAAGGACTAAGGATGCCTACAACGCACAACAACTCTGACTCTGTCCACTTTTTGGGTGTGTACACCAGGTGACCCCCTGTTCACCACAACAGCCTACCTCGTTCAGTGCGCCATGTCACCAAGGTGGTAGCTCACTGTGCAGAGCGTTGCCACCTCCTCGAGCGCTTGGCCGTGTCCTTCCGTGAGGCGCTTGGCACATGCCACCCGCAGATTCCGTGCTGACATAGTGCTACTCGTGATCTCATGAAATCCACAGATTCTGGGCGAAAGGGCTATGCGTTTGGGGCTTTAGTGACCACAAGTACTTAGATACGGTAAGAGAGTATGAAAATGTGTGAGGCGTCAGAAACGCCGCAAACATCAGGATTTTAAGCTTATTTGCTTCAGATTCCAGTGCAACATGAAATGATGTGGGCCACATGTCCCAGAAGCACAAAAAGTGCTCGTTCAGATCAAGCAAGCGTCAAATGCGTGCTCGGAGAATTACTTCGAGCCTGTGACCCATCACACCATCAATCAACAACGCGTAGATCACGAGATCTCAGGCAGTGTTGAGTCATGAGATGTCATGAGGAAGAATGTTCTGTGGACTTCAAGTTATAAACCAATTGGACTTATATAACTTAGATAGTGCAGAAACCAGAGTCGATGATTTCGTTCCGTGGTCCTGGAATGCCAGAAGGTTTACGCGAAGCTTCCCATCATCACCACCTGTGAGTGTGCAGAGGATGCTCTTGGATGCAGCAGCCTTGGGGTTCTTGAACTCTTCAGCTTCCCACCAACGGGGTGGACGTAATCAGGGTTCCCTTGTCAAGCACGTGGATTGGTTTGTTTCATTATGTTGCATGATTTGTTAAACGGATAGGGCATGCAAAGGGTGCATCTTGCCTCAATCGTTCATTTGCTTGTTGGCTACCATTTGCCCGCTGTTCTTGTTCAAAAGCAGATCCAGACACTAGGGACTTCGGCTCACCAACAAATGCACCACATAACTCGCATGTGTCGCATGGCACTGCTGGCTTCTTTCGGTGGGATCCAGGTGAGGAGCCTGTCGCTCGTGCTCATGAACGCGTCTGGGGTCCCAAAGACCCAAAGACCGATCGGCCCAAGCCTTGTGATCACCAGACAGCCGTTCATGGCAGAAACTCCATCCTGCCGTTCATGGACATGGTATTCCAGTTGGAACTCCAAAGCAGGTGGTAAACACTCAGGGCCTAGGTCTTGAAAAAAGATGAAAAAAGAGGTCTCAAAGCGATGCATCTCCACTGTGCGATCTAGTGTGTTTCCATCGTGCGTCTCTAGGTGTCGCAAATGACCGTGGTCTCAGTGCCGTATGACTTCGGCCTCTCTCGCGGGACTTCTGCCTCTTCCGAGTGAAGGGAAGGAAGTGAATCACATGAGTCAAAGCACCGAGGCCATAAAGCTGTCACGATCTTTCAGAAGATACTTGATATACTTGTAGCTGGCTGTACCTTTCACAATGCTCGACAGATATCGACAGCGATTATTGGTCAGATCTCATCAGATCTCTATGTTCTGTAATCTGTGTATATATATATGATACATAATATATATATATATGTAGATAGATAACTTTTTATAACTTAATCTTGTATAGCATCACCTGGTGACCTTGAACCTTCCTTTGTCGAAGTGCAGCATGCACATTCTCAGCTTCCAAAGAAGTTTGGATCAGATTGGTTGTGTTTTTTCGTTTTGGTGGAGGAAGACCCTGCTCATCGAGATGACTGACACCGAGCCAGGGGACCCGGTACCAAAACACCGGCCGGCCTTTCACACGGACAGTCAGTGGCTGTTCATGACTTGCAAGCAGGTGAAATGTGTCATACTGGTGTGAACACTGCTGGTACTACCATGTACTACCTTTACAGCCATGATCCCCATCCGATGATCAAATGCATGAAGTGAAAAGGCACGAAAGATGAAGGTGATTAAAGTCTAACCAAGGTCGAGTTCATTCTATATAGTTGCAGTGTACTATACTAGGCAAAGTGGGAGAGTCAACGGGAATTCGTGCACCCGACAGTCAGAGTTGTGATATGAATCAGCATCCATTTCACTGTTTGGCATCGTCTTTGCAGAATGCGTTTGACAGTTGGAACCCTGGATCCCAGTTGCCCCTAGATGATCTAGAGTGAGGCATCAGTCAAGCATAGAGGTTGTAAATTACAGACAAGATATGACAAGATCTTGTCAGAACCCTCCTGGTGACCCGGGCCCAAGTTGCTGCGTGGTGCACGGCGGACTTCAAGCAAAACATGATGTTCACCTGGAATGCTCAAGCAACCAATAGCCCTATGTTTGTAGTTTGCGGGCTACAATCCCAAAACCAGGGCCCTGGTGTCCAACCTGTAACCTGTGAGCTTCTCCGCTTCTCCCCGTTCGTTGGAGGTTTGTCCTCGTCCTGGATGATGACTTCACCCATTCCATGCACTCCTGTGCGGCCACTCAGCCTCCGAGGATGAGCGAACTGAGGCATGAGACCATATTACGACCAAAAGCTCCCGTTTGGCACTTGGGAGGACATTAGTTGGTTTTTCAAAGTTTGTTATAGTTGTATCATATTTGTTATTTAAGTGGGAAACAGCAGTGGTTCTCCACTTCGCTTGCGAAGGAGTGGGGCCAAACCCGTAGTGTGAGAAACATGACTGAGTTTGAGTCATTGAAGCCGCTATTCAATCTTTTGGGTCAATGGCTCCTGGCAGCACTTTCTGTGTAGGCTGTTGTTACTCGTAATTCATAGGAAATGAATGGACATGAAGGAAAACGACCGGCACGTCTTGTCGACCAACAAATTCTTTCTTGATCAACCAGCAGCTGTGGCAGTGGTGAGTGGATAAGAACTCGTGGGTATTTCCTGCAGGTTCCCTCAGCAATTCAAAGGGGAATCCTCAGACGTCCACAACAAGCGCTTGGAGAACAGTCCACGGTCCGCGCTTGGGCATGCAAAGCCCCTCAAAATCCAAGAGCCGTGTTTTTTCTTTTTCTGCATGCGGCTGTCATTCTTGGAATCCAGATTTGACGTGACTGTTTTGCAGTCGGATTTGGGTGGCCCGTTTCGGTGCACACCCACAACTGGGGTCGAGCCGCCCAGGTTTGGAATGCATGCTGTGGAAGATGCGGAGCCGTCACTATGCGCTTTGGAAGTCGGGCACTCGCTTGAAAGTGCGATGAATTCAGGAATTTGTCCCTATGGTCCAACTATGTTGAACTATACTCATCCCATTTGATCCCCAAATTAGATGTTTCTTAGTGTATCCCTTTGTCCTGGACATACTTAATAATTGAACGGTTGGGATGCATTGTTTAGTTTGCTTTTGGGAACCTGTAAGAGTACTTACATGCCCACCAAGCGTAGTTGCTCCCGGGGTGTTTTGTGCATCATTGCAGAATGTCCTGGTAGAATCTCAATGATGTCCTAAAAGAACGCTACCAAGAAGCAAAGGCACTGATGTTATTTGTTACTGTATATAGTTTTCGATAGTTTTCGGCTTCGTATGTCTTCGTCATGTGACCGGAGGTGTCATGTTACGGACGGTTTCAAGACCTGCCCAATCGTGACATTGATAAACACAAACATATACGATTGATTGGGTGTGTGCTTGCGAGGGTGTCGACGGGACCGGGCTTGGACGCCCCTTGACGTCCAGCATGGCTCAGATGGCTCAGGCCTTTCGACGTGCTTGGCTTCCCGGTACAGGAGGATGAAAGGATCTTTGGAGCCTTTCGGGGCAGGTGGGCAGGTCCCGCAGGGTCGGGGGGGGCACGAGTGAAGACTGGGGTGGCTTGGCATCAAATCAGACTGTGCTATTCAAAGGCATGAGTCCACAAAGAGAAAGATTTCTGGAGCAAGTTCAAGTTCACAGCAGAAGTTCCAAAAAGGGCCCTTAGTCACCAAGTGAAATCCCAATGAGTGCAGATTGTGCTGTCACTGTAGCTTTCTGAGAAGTCCTTGGTCGTCCTTCATCACTTGTTGCTCTCGTGGCTATGCTGTGGAAAGGCTTCGAGTCACGAACCAGCAACTCTTCTTGGAACCCATGGTCGAGGCGAGCTTTTTGCCAGTGGTGACGTCGTGAAAATACCAAGGGTTTTTATGCAAGATGAGACCAGCACCAACCATGAAGGAAGGAAATGGTAGATTGTGCCAATCAGGATGTTCAGTGTGTTTCTCATGTGTGTGTGTTCATATAAAGGCAACAGTGCCAGTTTCATGTTCCCACCACAGACTCTTTTTTCATCACTCGTCCAAGAGTGCTTGTGCAGCTTTCCACATGAGACTTCCTGATTTGTGGATGACCTTTGGAGCAATTGCCAAAAGAAGACACATGGCTTCAAAAGATATCATATTCTTGGACATGCTGGTGCCATTTGAACGTGGATCAAAACTTGCTCCAAATTGGCAGTTGACAAGATTGCTGAGCATTTCCGTTGCAGAGTCTTGCGGGTTCACTGGAATAGCACCGTTTGGAAAAAGTTTACTCGCTACTACTTGTAGGTTGGAGGCCATTGCTCTTAGGGTGGAGGCCATCGCTATTAGTTTCACTGGAGCCACATCCACAGCTGGCGATTTCAGGAGGTTCTCCCGGATGGCTGCGTCCGGGTGGAGATTTGCCACTGGACTGATTGAACATCTCGGTGGAGCAAAGCCTGGGGTGTGGTGAGCTTGCGAGCTTTAGCTTCCACTAAGCAATGAAAAGGATGGGAAGGAAAAGGTTCAGTCAAGGACTCCTCTTGACAAACTGTATGAAGTATCAAAGGACCATAATATAAGAATCCATAAGACCAAACAATACATGTTATATACATATATATATATATATTTGTTTTTTACATTTTATTTACAACATTATACAACCATTACAATCAAAGGTTTTCCACATTTTCCACTGACTTTGACTCACTGTGTTTAGCTGTGTGTTGTTTAAACTCATAATAATGCGACGTCTTCTTCCCAAGTTTTTATGCTCGCGTTGTTTCTGTTTATGCTCGCGTCTTAAGGCCCGATGGTCTTCTTGGGTCGAACAGCTCGCATGCGGCGTTTTCACTTCAACAAAGAGTTGCGTGCCACGAACTTAAGCTTGCATCAACTTGCATCAATCGTGCAACCGATAGTTTGCCGTTTGTTGCTGTGCATCTTTCAGAACAAACATTGGAAAGTCAGTAGCTCATGACACATGGCCTCAAAGCCTTCAAGCATGCAAGGTTGCAGAACGTTCACAGAGCAGGAATTGGCAGACAGGGCTAAGCCGGATTGAGGTTGGTGAGCATGAGCAGTTCTTCTACGCGAATGCCTACAATGGAATCCAGGCCATGGTACAGTGGTGTATTCAGATTCAGATAGCTTTTTCTCCAGTTGCCTGATGTGATGCACGCGAAAGCACACAAAGGTAAAGGGGGTGCTCCATAACACTGATGAAGCGCTTTAGAATTCCTTATGATGACGCGCAAATTCCCGTCACGGCGTCAAGTCCAGAGGTCGCTGTGTGCTTTGACTCCTCGTTCCCGCACTTCCGTGTCGGGTAGCCCGGTGGTTCAGTGGTGGCTGGTCGGTGGGTCGTGAGTGCTGGGATTGGCTTCTCAATCATGCTTGGCAGCATGGAACAAAAACATGAAACAAGTGTGACCCACATTAGCATACATTAACTAATGTTTTCAGAATTGAAGATGAGTGAACAATTATGTTGATCAACTGGCAAGTTCTTCAGGTCAATACGATGAGTGCTGGCTATGTAAAGCGGCGTGAAAGGCGGGGATGAGTGGGAGCGGAAGAACCTGGTGTTGAGGCAAAAAAAAGATTCCAGATGTGTCAGGACCATCCTGATTCGATCTGATTGGCAGGAATCCCGCTGGAAATTTGGTGATACCCTTTGCAATGACCAATATCTCGTAGTATCGCACTCATCCATTAGACAGATTTCCTCAGTCAGGTGTAAGTACTAAAGAGCCACAACAGTCAACCTTTTGCTGAAGGACAGCACAGACACTGCTACCTTTTGCAACACGAGTCGATTTCGAATCGATATATATATATATTTACATGTTTTTGTAGTTATATTATATTTACCTATGATGATATATATACACACATCACTTGTCACGTCACTTCCATGGGTGCCTCATGAGGGCAGGCAGAACCATCCCAAGGTCACCTCTTTAGATGATTGTAAGATACAATTTACATTAATCACGAAAGCTAGCACCAGCTAGCTGGAGTTGTCCTTGCTTTAGCAAGTGAGGGGCTGGAATCCTCGGGATCGCCGAATCACGTGAAAACTTCATATGTAGGGGGGG